CCCAGGGCCAGCCAGCGACGCGACATCATCCGCGCCAGACCAACCAGCTGCCCAAGTATAGCAGCTGTGGGACAGCCTGGAAGGCAGACCTTTCAATATAGCTGTCATCCAGGAAAAGCTTCAGGTCGCGCGCGGGCGCGTTGTCGACGTCGCGGTGGCGCGGGGCCCGCTTGCGCTGCGCGAGCTAGAGGAGCAGCGCGTCGAGCGCTGCGACCTCGCCGGGGATCTTGAAAAACCGGGCGAGGGATGTCCTGCGGAAGACGACGCCACCCAGGTTGTCAGCGCGCGCCCGGAGCACGGCGAGCCCCGGGAGTTCGCGGTCGCGCCGCGCGCCCCCTGGCGCGGGGGCCGCGCGCCGGGCGCAGAGGGGGCCCGACGGGCCGTAGCCGTGGATAATGCCCCTGGTGATCCTGCAGAGAGAGCTGGGCCCGCCGCGAGATGTCGCGACGGCGGGGGCGCGCGCGGGGGCCCTGCGCGGCTGAGATGAACGCGCCAGGCAGCTGCAAATGAGAGAGCACAGTCGCGAGGTGGCGCTGGCTCACGGGCGGGAATGCCTGCCCGAAATCGAAGGCCGCCACGGACGGCCAGTCCTCCGGAGCCAGTGGGCGGCGGCAGGCCAGCAATCCTCTCCGTGTCATCAATCTTGACGATGTGGTCCGCGATGCTCCTCAAGCGCCTTCCGCGCGACCAGGGTGCCGCGCTTGGCGGCGGGGGCCATGGAGACGTTGAGGGCCGCGCTGGTGATCTTGGCGCCAGCGCTTCCAGGCGGAGCACTCGCGCGCCCCGGGGCTGGCCGGCGACGCCCCCCGCGTCGTTGCCGTCGTCGCGCTGGGCCCCCTGTAGGGGGGAACGCTTGCTTAGCGTCGCTCTCCGCGCGCAGAATATACTGCCATGGGAGCGGCCGGGGGCGCGCAGGCCGAGCGACGCCCGGTCGCGCAGGGGCGGCGGGCCAGCCGCACTCGGGGGCGCCGTCAGTGCCGGGGGCGCTGCGCGAGAGGGCCGGCCTCGCGACCGCGCGTTCGATCACGCAGAGGGTCGGCGGCGGGCACTCGCACAGGCTGAACGCACTTCGCGAAGCAACCGCCGGCGCGCGCCTGGTCAGTCGACGCCCTCTGAAAGACGGGCGCCCAGCGACGCACGAATGCCGCGAGCTTCTCGTCGTCGCCCACGTCGCGCGCGGCGCCCTCCGCGACGGCTCGAAGGCGAAGGCGCCCAGCAAGAGGGGCCCGAAGTGGGGCGCGGAGCCCGGCGGCGGCCACTTGTCCACGCGGCTGCGCTTCGCCGACCTGGCCTCTTGACGGAGCGCGGCGCCTCTTGACGGGGCGCGGCGAGGTGGGCGTCGGCCGCCGCGCGGTGGGCCGTCTCGCGCCAGAGCCTGAAGACTTCGGGCCGGGCGAGGGGCACGCCGCTTCGCGGGCCGCGACGCAGGCGCGGAGTGCTGGAGAGGCGGCGGCGAACTTGGTCGCCAGCCGGCGGTCTCCGCGCCAGATCACCCTCGCCGCCTGCCGTGCAGCCGTCAGCTGTCCTCGCGGTGGGTCTATCTCCGCGGGGGGGGGCAGCCGCGCGGATACCTCGGCGGCCTCCCGCGCGAAGGGCTCGACGCGGGCAGGGCGGGGAAGCGGGGGGGTGGGCGGCGCGCCAGATGGCGGCCCAGTCCACGGGCGTCTGCAGGCGAGCGGCGGTGTCGCCGCACAGGAGGGCGCGCCGCCGGATGGAGAGATCGATCGAGTCGCGGGGCGGGCGAGCACGGGTGTCCAGGCGGACGGCCACGCGGTCGGAGATACCCATGTCGGCGAGCTTCATCGGAGAGTAGATGGTCTTCGCGCGAAGGCGAGCTGGCGCGCCACCCAATGGGACTGGAAACCCAGCAGCGGCCCAGCGTGGAGAGATGGCGCGATTGATTGCCGCGCCGAGTGGGCTCGTTGAAGGAGACCTCCAGCATATCTTGAAAAACTGAGCGCCATGCCCTCAGACGGCGCCGTCCTGCGACGCCTTCGTCAAGCCGGCGCCGCTGAATTGGACGCACCGGGCCGGGTCCGTTTCGAGCTGCTTCTGCGACCGACAGGCCCGGCGTCGCGAGCCGGCGGTCGCGCGCGCTGCAGCGCCGCGGCTGATCTGCATGCAGGGGCGTCCCAGACCAAGCAAATACCAGCCAACAGCGAGCTCGCAGACGCGCGCAGGAAGGTGGAGGCCAAGAAGAGGACAGCCGCTGCAACGCTGCAAGTAAGACTCCCCGACTGGCCGCTGAAAAAAAGACGACTAACTGGCGCAGAGGACAGCGCCCCGCGCTCGCGATACTGCTCGAGCTGCGCCGAGCCCCGGCCCACCCCCTGGAGGCCGTCGATCGCGCCCGCCGATGAACTGCTGGATGTACTCGGCCTCACTGCACGCCTTGCGGCCGCGCCATCGGAGCAACGCTTCCGCGTTCCACGCGGCGAAGGAACGGCAGCTCCCATGATGCGGCGAGTCGTCGGAGCTGCCAGTCAGGCTGCTAATCAGGAGCGATGGTGGCGCCGATTCGCGCGGCCCCATCCGCCAGAAGTCAGCGCCGCGTCGTTGGACTCGAACTGCGACGGAATCCGCCCCGCTCGAGGCGCGACGTTGGTGAGAGGTGCCCGCTCCTCCGAGTGCCAACCGTGCTCGCGATCGAAGTAGAATGTTGTCTGGGAAGCGGTTGCGCCTGGCTATGAGGTCTAGAACGGGGGGTCTGGAACGGGCTCTTGTCGGAGCAAAATGCGAGATCCATCTGTGCCTTGTGCCCCCGTAGCACCAAGGAGCGGGAAACGCATCCAACCGTTGTCGGGCTCAAAGGAAAAGGGAGCCTGGACGACGCGTCGCCCTTTTACAGCAACCGCGCCAGAAAACTGGATGGTGAAGATCGCTGACTGGTCGTCACCGGCGGGCTCCCGGCTCTCAGCCAGCCTAGCGCTGCGGAGACAGTGACTGCTGAATCCAACGCGTCCTCCATCTTGCAGGTGGACGGGCAGGTGGCCTTCATGATCGTGCCGTCGGGGATGCGCATGCAGGAAACGTCACAGACACGAGGCGGCGGCGGCGGCGGCTCCTGTCCGGCCAGGGCCATATCGCAACGAAGTTCGTGAACTCGGTTGGCCAGTTCAGCAAAGCGCTTGTCATGGTCGTCGACGGAGGTCTAGGCCATTGCGATCCTGCTCGTGCCAGCGTCGCCTTGGACCTGCATGCGCGTCTTCATGGCGTCGAAGTCGGGTTTGCTTGTGGCGGTAGCGGAGGCGACACTTCTGTTGGGGACCCGCTTGCGGGCGAAGGAAAGCGCATCCGTGGCCTTCAGGATGGGGTCGATGGCAACCTTGGCAATCTTTCCAGATGCGGCACCAATCCGAGTTTGAACTTCATTCCGGTACTGTTTTGACTGCTGGAACAGAACGTCGTTGCACAGGGCGCGGATGTGGATGCCTACCTGCTCTTCGTAGCCGCCGCCGTCCTCATCACCAGCCATGCCTTCGCCAGAAATAACGTCAGCACTGCCGACAGAAACTCCACGAGAATTCCTGCCCTTCTTCTTCGGAAGAGCGGTCTTGGGGTTAACGACGCGCTTGACGTCTTTGTCAGCGTTGTCGGCAATCACAAGCATGCTAAGAGCTTGTAGTGGATTGCGGTGAACTGTTGCAGCGCCTGGACGCAAAGGATCTGGAACGCCAGGGTCAGCCCGTCAAAAACGGCATGGGCAGCCAGGGGCGGACCACCTGGGCTTCGAATTGATTGGAAAGTGCTGCCGCGGACCAGTGGCTTCCTTGGAGCACGTCGGGGCAACGAGCACCTCGAGCCAAAATGGCTACGAAGGGAACAGGGGGGAGGAGGCCCCAGCCTCGCTTCGCTTGGCTCGCTCGGATGTGCTGTAGTGTGCTGGCCGCAGGCCCTGGGAGATACGAGTTATAGATACGATGCACGATGAGCTCCCTTTGAATGGGTATCACACTCTTGAAGGGGCCCTGGGACACACAAATAAATACACACAAATAACATGGTTCCACATAGTTTCCCATAGTTTCTGGGTTTTTGTCTTCCCGCCCAATGCCCATATTTACCTATATGTTCTTGGGAATCGACGATGAAATTGTGTCTGTGTGTGTGTGCCTTTCCCTCCTGAACTCTTTGGCTTGCGACGTGCCCACAAACGGCGCAAAACCAAATCCCCATTCCCGCGTGTTGAGCTGATGAGACTCATGTGCCCATCTCCCAAACATGTGCACCTGATGCTCTTTAGGGCGAGCCCACCAGACTCTACATACGCGGGAGTGAAGCTGGGAGAGCTTCACCAAACCAACTTCTGGGCCTGGAAGGCCGACCCCTTACATCTCGTAAAACTGCGGCCATTCTCACACAGAGTGTGCAAGGATTGGAACATGCTGCAGCTCGTTCGAGCGACAGGGCGAAGGCCAGGGCTACTGAGTCGATGACGAGGGCCATCACAATCCATCTCAGCGGCGATAGCCTCAAGCGTGTTCAAGAGAACACGCATGCGCTGGAGGTAAGCCATTCCTTCATGTTGCAACATTCCAGTTCGGGGACTTGACCGCTCACATTCAGCTGGGAAACTCCGAAGCCTGCAAGAACGTCCGCAGCAGCGTCGGGGGGAATAGGAGGAAAGGGAGGAGGAAGAGGAGGAGAAGGAGGAGGAGGAGGAGGAGGGAGGACGAGGAGGAGGAGGAGGAGATATGGGGACTGACGGAGGAGGGAGAAGGGGAGGGAGGGAGGGAGGAAGGAGAAAGGCCGAGGAAGGAGGGCAAGAGGGACGGGGACACAGGGAGGGACGGAGGACAGAATGAGCACATGCACGGGGGCAGCACCAGCTCAAAATGCTAGGCAAACTGCTGCTGCAGGCCGCCGACATCACGACGCTGCGGGCATTATCAGGACATGATGGGAATCTTTGAAAACGTCCCCATGAGGACACTTTGAAGACAACCCCTTTATCTCCAATGTGGGATTCGCATCGCTACGCATGAGGAGGAGCATCAACATTGTTTCTCTGTTGGACGGCAGCAAGGAGTCTGCTCTTCCCAGGCAGCTGTCTAGCCGGCACCAACGCGGGGCGTGCGAATAAAAAACACGGGGCGGGGCGTCGGGCTGGGTCTGGTGCTGCATCTTTGTCAAGACAGCTGGCAGAACAGATATAACCATTCTGCAAGGCATCTGCGCTAAGCGTGAGAAGATGACTAGCGCGCGACGGGCCTGGGAACGTGGGAGCCAAGGGCGCTCAAGACTCGGATCAGTGATTGGCATGAGCGGAGTCCTGGTGATGGAAATGGGTCCTGGCCCGATTCATACCACCTGAACCTGGGCAGTTCTGTGGAGTGTCCCTGGGGGACTGGCAGAGGCCTCCTAGATGGGGTCGCAGTAGATGAAGTCGGAGGATCGCGCCGCATCGCCGATGCATCGCCGATGCATCGGCGATGCATCGGCGATGCGTCGTCGACGTCGGCGATGCATAGACGACGTCGGCGTGACGCAAATCGGGCTCCACATCGAGCCGCATCGCCGATGCATCGGCGATGCGGCGCGATCCTCCGACCCCATCCACTCGGACCCCATCTGGGAGGCCTAGAACTGGGAAAGCGCCGGGAGCCCGGCAGCGCGGAGAACGATCCAGGACCAGCTTCCTCCAGGACCGGGCTCCTCCATGCCGGGGTGAAGGCGCAGCACCTTCGAGTGCAGCTCGGGGGTGCTCGGCGGCGCGGACGAGCTCGCGGGGCGTGCCCGCAGGCCTGGAAAAGCGAGCTGCCCGAACAGCTTCGCGGCCCGCCTCCGCGGAGGGGCGAGAGCGGCCCTCGGCGCGTCGGGCGCGTGCCCCACAAAAAAGGCCCCGCGTGGCGAGGCGCGCGGCGAGATGGCCGAGCACGCGGCCGCTCCGAAGGGCGCTGGTGCTCAGGACTCGACTCCGCGTGGGGTCATCGCCGTCGCCGCCTCCCCCGTGTCAGGATCGACCGGCGGCGGCTGCTCCCGCCGCTTCTTTGCCTCCTCCATCGCCTGCAGGTGCTTCTTGGCCATGCGACCAGTGATCTTCATGAAGAGGACGTGGATGAGGCAGCCCATGGTGAACAGGAACATGGCCAACTGGCCGAGCGGGTATATGAATGACATGACGTCATTGTTCAGGCCATCCTCGTCCCAAGGATCGCTGATACGGTTGTTGACGCCGAAGGGCCGGAAGCACTGGCTGCCGAGCAACGTCAGCAGCATGCCTTGCACAATCATGCAAGCAAGGCCGACCTGGATCAGGACCTTTAGAGCCATCGGCAACCTCTTCCAGTCTGTCACCTGGTCGTAGGCTTCGTTGTACGCCGCTTCGCTCCGGGTGAGCGCGATGATCTTGGCGTGCTCAGGCCTGGGCTGCATCAACTCCTCGTAATGCTTGAAGGCCTTGTCCTGCAGGAAGTACAGCGCGAGGCACATCGCGACGAGCTGGGAGAAGCCGGCCGCCATCAGCATCATGCCCGAGAGAGTGTTCCAGAGGGCCCGGCCCTCCTTGTCGTTCTCGTCCGTGATGGGCGTGATTAGGAAGGCCCCGTACAAGATGGAGGGCGAGCAAAGGAACACGATGGGCAGTGTGCCAATAAGCATCTGGGGTATGTTGACCCGCAGGATGCCGCACAGGACGCTGGTGGGCCAGTCCGGGCCTCCGAGCAGGACTGCCACCTTCGGCGCGTTGAGGCCCTTGGTCTTGAGAATCATCTCGATGGCTTTGATCTGGACCTTGTCCACGCCCACGAGCTGCTGGACCTTCACTGACCAACCCATGGTGTAGCCGATCATGTACTGGCCGCACGCGGCCACCAACTTCAAGATAGTGCACATCACTACCGCGATCAAAAGTCCGCCGTAGAAGCCGATGCCCTCCACGGGGCGAGCCTGTGCGCACACGATAATGCCTCCGCAAATGTACACAGGGATACCAGGCACTGGCGGAAGCATGAACATCATGAAGCCAACGATGAAGAAGATCAAGCAGGACTCCTCGAAGCCAAGATTCTTCTGAAGGTACTCGTTGAGCGCTGAGAGGAGGACGATGCAGAATTTCCCTGCGCCCTGGGCCAGTGTGAAGTAGAGCATAGCGAGCAAGTTGGTCTTTGTGAAGATGCTCACCCACCTCCAATGGTCCAGGGCCCTGAAGACCATGTTCGCCCCCGTCGTGAACCACGTATTCTGCGTGTGCTTCGGGTCACGGAGCCGACGGGCACGCTGGTTGAGGAAATTCACCGCCAACAGCCACGGGATATTGGGGTAGACCGGGACGATGATGACCGCGCGGGCCCAGTCTGACGTGGCAAGCCCAAGGATCCTCTGCATAATCGCTGAATTCTTCAGCATCGCCGTCAAAGCCCTCTCCCCAATCTCCAGGTACATCCAGATGACCAGAAGGATGATAGCGCCGCCGAGGAAAGACAGCATCGCTCCAGTCAGTCTGGTGGAAGCTCCCGCAACGGAGACAGAGACGTATCCGCCGGCTGCGGCAAACACGATAATCAGAATGAAGTTCTTCAGGGCCTTCTCAAGCTGGCGAAGGTCAGTGACCTTGAGCCAAGAACCGTTGATGGCGCAGAATAAGCAATACAAGAAGTTAGTCCCAAAGGATACGAGGGGGGCCATCCAGATCAGGAGCCACGTGGTCTTCACCTTGGCGCAAGCCTTCTTGATCTCGAATGCCTCCAACGGTTGAATCTCGCAAGTGTCCCAACCACAGTCCGTTTCTTTTGCCTGCATCTCTCCGGTTTCCCGGTAGTGATCTTCATCTAGCGTGTACAGCGAGGGATCCCCTTCCTCGGGGCAGTACCAGTCCGCATACATCGTGAACTCATGATTGCTGACTGTGACGTTCCACGCCGAGTATATCTTCGAGGTGCGCTCCCTGAGGTCTGCCTTCGTCGCGCTGTCCCAGCGGTGCGTGGTGGGCAGCAGGTTCATCCAGACGAGCCACAGCGACATGGAGAACAAGGAGATGGCCAAGAGGCAAGCGCCGACGCTCCCGTAGAAGCTCGGGCGGCGCACCGCCTTGAGCGCGGTGGCGCGGAGTGCCCCAAGGAGAACGGGCACGTGCATCATCGTGATGACCAGGGGCAGCTCGGGGTAGTTGCGTGCCATCAGGAACCCTCCGATGAGGAAGCCGTAGCAGCAGACGATTATGGTGATCCGCTTCTGCACCTTGTTCTTCCAGTAGTACCAATCCACGACGACGAGGGATATCGCGAAAAGAACCGACATGAAACCGATGCCCTTCCCCATAAGATCCACATTGTACGAGGCGAGGTTGGAGTACGTCGTGGTGCCGAGGCCAATGTCAGAGAGCGCAGCGAGGAGAAACAGATTCGGCGCCAGGCTAGCCCCAATGATCATGAGGAGCTGCAGCTTGCTCAGGCTGGACGTTATCTGCGGCGCCTCCTCTTCACGGCCACGGGCGTGGGCCTCCTTCAGCGACATGCCCCTATCCATGGCCAGGCTGATCTTCTCCATGCAGTCGGCCGTCACCCCGGTCACGTGCCAGCGCGGCCCATGCTTCAGGAAATCAATGGTGACAATGTCACTCGACTGCAGCGCCTAGGCAACCACACGGGAACCCTACCCCTGCAGGTCAGATCTCCGAAAACATGCAGGACGGCTGCAGCCAGGTGAACCCCGCGGTGGGGGGAGGGGCAACATTGAAGGGGCCCTGGGACACACAAATGGATTCCTCATGCTTTCCAATATTTTCTGGGCTTTTGTCTTCCCACCCACTTCCAATATTTTCCAATATTGTCTGGGGAACCGACGATTCATTGTGTCTGCGTGTTTGTTCTGAAAAGACATGTCTGGCGTCGATTGGGCCCACAGGGGAAGGGGTCGCAAGCGATCACGGGACGCCTGCACCATGCCGTGCGGATCTGTCTGGCCGTTGACGCTCACCATCTTGTCCCCGACGCAGATCAACTGGTCTCCCTCGCAGGTGCAGTTCCAGTCCTGGGCCCGACGAGGAACGGATGGGGAGCGACGAGGAGGGGCAAGGAGGAGACGGAGGAGCGCTCCTGGACCGAGGAGTTCACCATGATGCCTGTGACGATGATGCCCCCGCTCTCCTTTCGGCGGCGAGCGAGAGGGGGGAAATGGGAAGGAGAGGGCCTTCGCAGAAGGCGGCGGGACCTCTCAGAAGCCCTCGCACCTTCTGAGAAGTGGTGTGCCTCTTCGGGAAAGGCTTAGGACAGCTCAGACGACCAGGGGACTTCCGAGCCTTCTGCGAAGGCGTGGTGCTTCTAACTTCCCTCACGGGCTCGCCGCCGATCCTTGTCGAGGGCCCGGTACGCCATGCCGAGCACGCCATTCTTCTTTGGTATCACCACGGTGTACGTCGGTTCTTTCAGCGACAGTGGCACGGCGTCTTCGTCCTCGTCCTCGATGCCGACGACCTGGTTGATGACATTGCCGATGACGTTCATGGCCTTACAACCACCACATCCCGCTGATCCCGGCCTGATCCTGATCCCGAGCCAGACCGGACTCAACCTGACGCAGATGCTGATCCAGATGTTAGCCCAGCCTGTATGATCCTGGTTTGGATCCTGGGAGTCCTAGCTCGGATGCTGCCCGAATGGTTGAAGGCGGGTGAACCCAAACTGGGACGTCGTTCTCGGTTTCGTTCCGTGTAACGCGTGCGGGCGAGGCGGCACTGCGCGAGCGCGAGTCTCCCACCGAAACTTAATACAACAGTAAGAACTCATCAGGCTACTCAAAGTATCTTAAGCCTTTTTGTAGAGCAACTACTCCCCCCATACGTATAGAACAATATTGCGCAAGAGGATCAGTCGCGACTGCGCTGGCCAAGTTGTGGGCGCCCCAACAGGGCCCAAGACAAGTCCAAGGGAGGACAAAAGCGCCCAACATCGGCACACGACAGACTCCGACAGACCCAAGGCTTGGCCCAAGACCAGCAAAGACGACACGAGAGAGCGACACGCGGGCTTAAGAGGTCGGCTGAAGGAAGCCCGATAATGCAAGAAATAAAAAACACACTCAACATGTTATTTATACACTTTGGCCCACGCACCTTTGCGACTGATGGCGACTCCACGAGCCCCGCATGGGAGCCGAAGGGGGCTCAAGAAGGCTCCAAGAGGGTCCCCTGGCGGCCAACGACGGTCCCAAGAGAGCGTCAACCGAAGCCGCACGGGCCTCCAGGTGGGCTCAAGACGGCTCACGAGGTACCTAAGACGGTCTATTGGGGCCTCAATCCCAGTCGCAAAGGAGAGATGTGGGAATCCCGGTGGGCGCCCAAGGGTCTGACTTGTCTTTGTTTTCCCAACACAGGGTCCCCGGAAATCGCGACCCTCTCCGCAGGGGCAGATGTTCATCCTGAGCAGTCCTCTGACAGCCCCAGGGCCCGAAAACGGCCCCCAAATGCCGAACACTGGGAATTCACCAATCAAAAACTGCATACACTGAAATGTTTGGAGCTCCGCGCCGATTTCTTGCCTCGGCGCTGGACCCGTCTTCTCGGCGCCGCAGAAGGCGACAAGGGCGGTGCCAGAGGCGCCGCCAGAGGGGCCAAGAAACCCGCGCGAAGCTCAAAACGTTCTGACGCACACAGAAAACATCTTGATCATTCAAGACGTTGGATGCCTGGGCCCTGACGACGACGACGACGACGACGACGACGACGACAACGACGACTGACTGACTCGCGCTCTTGGCCTCGCGGTCCGCTCAACGCTGGCGCGTGCCAGACAGGCGGCCGAACGGGGGCGTGAGCGGCGGGGGCCAGCGCGCGGGGTCGTCGGCGGCGGGGCCCTTGGCAGAAGCCTCGAACCTCAGGCCGACATGGCTACGGTGGGTGACGAGCCAGCTGTCCAAAGTCAGCGCTCCAGGGTCCGAATTCAAGCCTGCATGCGTGTAGGTTTGATCCCCCCAACCAGGGGAACAGACCTGCGTGCGTGCAGGTCTGACCTGTTGCGTTTCGAGCTTCGCCCTGGATAGTAGGATGGCGGTGATGATGATGGTGATGATGATGATGATGGTGGTGATGATGATGATGGTGATGGTGATGGTGATGGTGATGATGATGATGATGATGATGATGTTGATGATGATAGTAATGATGATGATGCTGATGCTGATGATGATGCTGCTGATGATGATGCTGATGGTGATGATGATGAGGACGCTGATGACGATGATGATGATGATGATGATGATGATGATGATGATGATGATGATGATGATGATGGCGATGGTGTCGATGATGATGGCGACGATGACGACGATTACCTTTTCCCAACCCTCCTATGGTTAGGTACTCGTTTTGAATAGAGCAGTGTGGTCGCCCCGTCCTCCTTCTCCTCCTCCCCCCTCCTCCCCTCCTCCTCCTCTCCTGTCTCCTGTGTTCCCCTCTCTTCTTCTCTCGTGCCGTCGGACTGCGATCTGCGCAACTGTCGCCACTTTCGTGGGCTCCTGGGAACTGTCGCCACTTTCGTGGGCTCCTGGGAGGCCCAGCGGAGGTGGGTCCCACGCGGATCACCTCGAGACCTCGCGGTGGCCTGGGGGCTGCGATCTGCGCAACTGTCGTCACTTTCGTGGGCTCCTGGGAGGCCCAGCGGAGGTGGGTCCCACGCGGATCACCTCGAGACCTCGCGGTGGCCTGGGGGCTGCGATCTGCGCAACTGTCGTTCCGTTCGTGGGCTCCTGGGAGACCCAGCGGAGGTGGGTCCCACGCGGATCACCTCGAGACCTCGCGGTGGCCTGGGGGCTGCGATCTGCGCAACTGTCGCCACTTTCGTGGGCTCCTGGGAGGCCCAGCGGAGGTGGGTCCCACGCGTATCACCTCGGGACCTCGCCGCTCCCTGGGGGCTTGCGGTCTGTGCAACTGGTGCCACTGTCGTGGGCTCCTGGGATGCCCATCGGGGGTGGGTCCAACGCAGATCACTTCGGGACCTCGCCGCCCCCTGGGGGGCTTGCGATCTGCGCAACTGTCGCCACTTTCGTGGGCTCCTGGGAGGCCCAGCGGAGGTGGGTCCCACGCGGATTACCTCGGGACCTCGACGTTCCCTGGGGGTCTAACGATCTGCGCAACTGTCGCCACTTTCGTGGGCTCCTGGGAGGCCCAGCGGAGGTGGGTCCCACGCGGATCACCTCGAGACCTCGCCACCCCTGGGGGGCTCGCGATCTGCGCAGCTGTTGCCGCTTTCGTGGGCTCCTGTGAGGCCCAGCGGAGGTGGGTCCCACGCGGATCACCTCGGGACCTCGCCGCCCCCTGGGGGTCGCGATCTGCGCAACTGTCGCCACTTTCGTGGGCTCCTGGGAGGCTTAGCGGAGGTACGTCCCACGTGGATCATTCGGAGGTACGTCATACGCGTTTCTATCAACGCCCCTGTGTTTCCATTTTGTTTAGTTGTCGTTCCTCTTCTTGCTGCGCTCTTCTGAAATCACTGGTGGGTGCTCGTCTTGCGCACTGCGGGTCTTTCAGAATGCCAGTCAGCATTGAGTGGTCCTGAGTATAATCGCCACGTGTAAAGAAACGGTTGGGTACGTCACAAGGTAATGTCCCCACGGGATCCCGCACGTACGTGCGGGTAGCGACGATGACGACAATGACGACGATGTTGTTTATCCCTGATGATGATGACGATGTTGATTTAAGCCGGCAACATACGTACGCACGTACGTGCACGTGCTCGCACGCGCCTGCTTGGGTGGAGGCCTGTGTGCGCATGCTGGGCTGGAAATCGAATTGCGTGCACATGCTGGCGGCTCCTGCCCCATCCAGCCTCCTCTCCAGCTCACTCATCCGCGCCATGGGCGCTGGAGTTGTCTGGCCGTGTTCCCGCAGGGCGGCAGATCTGTGAATGGCGCGGGCAGCCTCGTCCTGATTCCCAATCCCCTCCAGCTTCGCATGCGGACGCAGTCCACGGGGAAGCTCCCTACGGGGCCACGAAACGTGTGACAGGCGGGCCAAAATGGGCGCGGTGGGCGCATGCGAAGGCAGCCACTGGCGCGTTCGGTGGAGCTCCCTATGGGGCCCCACGAAACGTGTGAAGGGTGTGCCAAAATGGGTGCGGTCGGCACATGCGAACGCAGCCACTGGGGCTGTCGGTTGAGCTCCCTATGGGGCCACGAAACGTGTGAAGGGTGTGCCACCATGGGTACGGTCGGCGCATGCGTACGCAGCCACTGGGGCCGTCGGTGGAGCTCTCAATGGGGCCCCGAAACGTGTGATGGGTGGGCCGGCATGGGTGCAGTGGGCGCATGCGAACGCAGCCACAGGGTCCGTCGGTGGAGCTCCCTAGGGTGCCGCGAAACGTGTCAGGGTGTGCCAAATTGGTGCGATGGGCGCATGCGAACGCAATCGCTGGGGCCGTCGATGGAGCCCCCTTTCGGGACACGAATCGTGTGATGGGTGTGCCAAAATGGGCGCGGTGGGCGCATGCGACCGCAGCCACTGGTGCCACGGGTGAATCTCCCTACGGGCCACGACACGTGCGCGGGATGTACCAAAATCGGTGTGGTGGGCGTGTGCGAACGCAGTCACTGGGGCGGGCCGTCGGTGGAGCTCCCTACGGGGCCACGGAACATATGGGGATGTACCAAAATGGGCGCGGTGGTCGCATGCGAACGCTGGCGTAGGGACCTTCGGTGGAGCTCCCTGTGGGGCCACGAAACGTGTGAGGGGAACCAAATGTGTGCGGTGGGCGCATGCGAACGCAGCCACTGGGGCTGTTGGTGGGGCTCCTCATGGGGCCACGAAACGTGTGGTGGGTGTGCCAAAATGGGTGTGGAGGGCGCAAGCGAACGCAGCCTCTGGGGCTGTTGGTGGAGCTCCCTATGGGGCCACAAAGCGCGCGCGCGGGGTGTGCCAAAATGGGCGCGGTGGGCGCGTGCGAACGCAGCCACTGAGGCCGTCGGTGGGGCTCCCTATGGGGCCACGAAGCGTGTGAGGGGTGTGCCGAAATTGGTGAGGAGGGCGCATGCGAACGCAGCCACTGTGGCCGTTGGTGGAACGCCTTATGAAGGCGCGCAACGTGTGAGGGTGTGCCAAACTGGACGCGGTAGGCGCATGCGAACGCAGTCACTGGGGCCGTCTGTGGAGCTCCTCGTGGTGCCACCAAGCGCGTGAAGGGTGTACCAAAATGTTTGCGGTAGGCGCATGCGAACGCTGGCATGTGGACCTTCGGCGGAGCTCCCTATGGGCCCACAAAACGTGTGAGGGGCGTGCCGAAACAGGTACACGTAGAGGGCAGAGGCAAGGAGGGGGAGGAAGAAGGATGAGAGGGAGGAGGAAGGAGAGGAGAGACGCGGGGCGCTGTTTATATATACATATAACAAACTGGGGATCCAACACCACAGGATGGTCGGGAACAGTGTGAAGTCTACTTTGGGGCACAATCTTGGGCCGTGATCGGGGGGGCGCGAGCACTTTATATAGTGTTTTGACGGGGCCGGCAAGGGTACCCGCCGATTGCCTGCCGTGCGCAAGGCCAGCCTCCCTTTGAACAAAACACTGCAATATGCAATTCGAGACAACATCTGAACCATGCGCGGGTGCCCCGCGATCACTGTGCGTTGCTTCTTGACTGGGACGGCGGGTGTGCTGGCATATTGCCCGCTACACGCAGGTCCACCAAACGCTATGCCGATTTCGGTGGGTTCTGGGTTCCCGGGCTCCCGGGTTCCCGGCCGATCTCCTCAGCGAAACCATCCACTGATTGGGGTTTTTCTCTGGTGTCTGTTTTATGTTGTTATTTTTTGTTTTCCAGAATTGCTTCCGTTATCTGTGTTGATCGGGCGGGTCTGGCAAGCGGTTAGCGCCGTCTGCGTAAGACTGAAGGGGAACGTCAGGGGGGGACAGGCTCAGAGGGGGAACACCGACTTAGAATTGGCGATACATCGCCGATCGACCTGGGCTGTTTGTATACTTTTGGCTGGCGGCACGTCGCCGATAGATCGGCGATGGGCCCCCCGTAGAGAATCCGCACGCCGGGCTGGGCCATCGGGCCCCCTGTTGGCAATGAGTGGTCGCAAATCAGCTCTCCGGCGGCCGTTCTGAACGATCCGGGCAGCCCCAGAGCGCTCCCGGCGAGGCGCCGCTGCTGCGACGCAGCAGAGGCTGGAAAGCCGCCGAGAGCCCACGAAGATGCTTCGAGACCCCGAGCCTCGAGACCTCGGCGCCCCCCCCCCACCCGGAGCCTCGCGCCAGGGAAGCCCTGCGCCCACGACCCCGACGAACCCCGACGACCCCGACCACGCCGAGCCGACGCCGACGCCCGCCCAGACCTCCGACGTCGTGTTTTTTTTGTTCAAGCAGGGGCCTCGGAGGCCTAGAGCACGACCCCAGAGGTATAAATGGGTGATGGCGATAAAATAGAAAATGGGAGAGAACGATTAAACAAATAGATTTCTGCTATCTCTGCACAATTTTCTGACTGGAGGAGAACGCTAACAAAAAGTGTTCCAGCCCGAGGCCGGTTTGTTCTAATCGTCATCCCCGGCGCCGCCGCGTGAACACGACCCCCGGTCATTTAGCAGTCGTCATCCTCCATTACAGTCGGGGCGTTGACCGAAGGAATCCTACAAAGGAACGATGCCCCTTTTGTCTCCACGAATTGAGCTTCGATTTCCCGTCGAAAACCTCAGGAACACCGTAAGGCAGACTGTATAGAACGATCAAGGAGCCCGGAGCCCCTCCCCAACGAAAGGGGTTCCTTCTTCAGCACCCCGACCGCAGAGCAACAGGCAGTGGCGTAAAGAAAAAAGCCTGCAGGTCCGCGCGGACCTCCAGAGAATCATGCTTATGTCATCCGTTGTTCCCCGATCTCATCCCGAGCTGTCTCTCT